AAACTTTAGAAACTACACTTACAACGACCCCGTATATGATGGTGCATGGCCGAAGTGACCTTCGGTCACTTGTAGGAGAGATGCGGGATATCTGGGCTTCACTATGACGGCCAATGCGTAGCTTTGTCCATTGCCGAGTAGGCTGATGGGTTGGAGTAAAGATTGGCAGCCCAAGAAGTAGCCCAAATTTGTAAAGAGAATGATCTTCATTACCCCAAGCTTGAATGGGTTAATCATTTTATGAGCACTCACAGTCGAGGAAATGCACCCTTGAAACATGACATGTGAAGTGACATATTTATATATCCAGAATTAATTCAATGTAGGGAAAATTCCATTTAACCAAAAACCACATCTATGCGGAATTATAAAGCAAATTTAAATATTTAACTCTCTTGTAAATTTTTATATACTTAATATCACTCAAATAAATAATTGATATGAGATTCATGATTTTTTTTTAAAATCATAATATCTTCTTCTGATTTTTAATGTAAAACTTATGACTCTATTCAGTGAAAAACATATATCTATGATATAAGATTTATGTTGGAATCCTGACACATAGAGTGACTCAATTATAAATCTAAAATCAATGCCAAAATGGAAAAAAGAAAGGAGAGTACTGCCATTGTCAAATCACCTAGAATTCTATAGCTTTGGCTTGGCTTTTGGTTTTGGTTATTGACAACAGAATCCTAACAAGAGACCAAGATATGATGTGCAAATCCTTTGACTCCTAAATTTTTTCCAAGTCTTCGATCAAACACTCCAAATATTACAGTAGCTGTAATCACGCAATAACAATGAAAGTTTGACTGTCTCATCGTGAGAAACAAGCCAGTTTTCTCGTGCATCCTTTAGTTCTTTCTCTTTCCAATCTCTGATCTCTGACTATAAAATAATATTGCCATTGGCTATGGGGAAGAACCTTAAGCCTTGCCCAGCGTTTAATGTTCTTGCATTTATTTTTGTTGTTGATATAGGCAGCACACGAGAAGAACAAGTTTATATGATTAAATAACAGATGAAGTAGTCAATCCTTTTACATTTTCTTTTTGTCAAAACAATATTTAACATTACAATTAACCTAATTCAAAATACCTAAAGGTAAACTTAATAGTTTCGCTCTGCCTTTTGTATACTAATCATCATATATATAATAAAAAAACAAATCTCACCTATGATAAACCATGATAATGAAAGATGATTTTTTTTCGTGTTAAAGTAAGTAATTTAGTGAAAAATAACTTGCCCTATACGTTGGTCTAGAAAATCCTTTTTTACGGTTTATATCTATTCATTGATTTTCAATACAAAGTGCCAACCCTACATTTGACATTTGCTTTCCTTCCGGTATCAATGGACCTCATCACCTCACTTATGTTATTTATTTATTATTTTTAAATATATACCTTTGCAAATGATAAATGAAAAAAGAAATGATAGCATCACATATAATATAATAGACTTCTTCGTACCTCTCTTTTTGCTTCAATATGTTTTCTCTTTCTCTCTATGCTCTCCATGTGGCAAAATGAGGAAGCTCCAAAAATGTGTAATAAATTATAATACGTTATGCCAAAAAATAGCAACATTTGTCACACCAATTGAATTTTGAATGCAATTAATTAGTACTGAATTTTGGACTGCCAAAGCATGTCATGTGAGCATGATCAATGCGCAAACAATTTTCAATATACTTGAATTTTACTCTTTAATAATATAAAAATATGTATTTTCTCATTTAAATATACCTAAGTGATAAGTTATTTTTTTGATAATCTAATAAGCCGCCCAATCAATAATTGAGGTAGCTTATCACTCAACAAGCATTCACACCAAGTCAAAGAAATAAATAGAAATGCCTAACTCAAAGGAAATTGGAGGTCCAATTCAAAAAGGTATTGTAAAAAAGTTCAATAAAGAGAAAATTTGTATTGAAGTAAACCAATTAAGCTATGTATGCAATGACATGCCCGACCATAAATAAAATATTTTCTTTTTTTTATGCAATTATTGTATATAAATTATATTAAATGTGACATTATTGTAGTATACATATGTCATCTTGAACTCAATCACTACCATCCTCATGATGAGGACTTGTAAACTTTACTTCTCACCTAACTTGATTCATTAATAAAACGTAGTCCAAAGCAAAGTAGCCACACCCTAAGTCCAAGTAGAAGATTTAGAGTTCAATTTCGCATTTTCTAACTTAAAAATATTGAAAGGAAAATTGAAAACTAAGAAGGAAAAGAAGAAGGAAGTAATTAAAGCCCTACCTTTGACAATTTCTTTGATAATGTTCCATATGTATTCTAAGAATATAATTTAGTAGATTTATACGTGAAGGAATTTGTCAATAAATAAAAATAATAAAAAGATAAATAATAGAAAAATATTAAAATATATGAAATTTACCAATATTAGTCTAATTAGGGGAAAAAAAGGAAAAAAAGGTGGATTTCTGGGGTGAATGTCAAGCCTTATTAGAAGAGCAAGTTGGCTAAACTATGAACCACTAGCTTTTACCTTGTGATTTTCAAAATGGTCCCCTTCAAAGGGAATAGGACAAATGCTAAGATTCAATGTATTTTACCTTAATTTTGGGCAATGATTTCTCAGTCATTGACTTTTCTTTTCAAGTGTTGTAGCCTCCCCCATTGTTGAGGAAAAATCATCCAATCACACAAGGACAAAGATTTTGTTAAGTAAAATAAAAATAACAAAAATATGAATGGAATCAACTTCCTTGGTAAAACCTTGTTTGTTTTCTTGTATAATCCATAAATCTAAAGAAGTTTCCAGAAACTTTTCTATAGGAATGAGACATGTAAACGGGTAGGTATTTGTTATTTTTTTTTATATAATAGAAAATTTTATTTAAACTCTAACCATTCTAGGGAAAAAATATCTAATATATTATTTATCAAAAGATCCCTAGCTTTAGCACGAGGGTCATTGTAGAAAACAAACCGGGGGTTTAATAAATTTTTAAGTAACTTCCTTTATTATTTGATAGGGTAATCGAATATTCAATAAATACCTCATCAAATTTTTTGAATTGTTATTCGAACCTGTACTTGAATTTCTTAGATAAAATCGTTAAATGTTTAATTAAAATAAATTTAAATTAAATTTATATAACATTGATGAAAATTAAATTAATAAACTAAAATAAAATTTAAAATCATATTTGGAGCAATTAATAAACGTTAGTAAGTATTACATTAATTATAAATAATTTATATAAAATTAAAATTTATTATTAAAAGTATTGTTTATAATCGGATTCGGGTAATAGCTACTTTAAAACTACTACCCAAACCCTATTAGAATCTGATTATAAATTACTTTAATTTTATTTAATTAAATTAGATAAAACAAGATGCTTGATTAAAAAATATGATAAAAAGTATCTATTGACATCTATTTAAGCCAAATCTTACTTAGTCTCGTACTCTCATTTATAAAACATTTCTTTATGTTCATTTGACATATAGGCAAAGGAAAGAAATGAATTCACCCTATAATAGTTGGTGCATCTCTTTCCAATGAATTCAATAAAATAATATTCTTCACGTTCCAATGAAAATTATAATTGCAATGTAAGTACACTTTCCAGATTCTAACTCCAAATCCAGACCATAAAAGGAAAATATTAGATCTAGCAGTCTGGGATCTTTAATTATTGCCAAATATAATTAAAAAATTAGCTTCATATAGTGGCTATATTTTAAAGTTATGAAATTTATAAAATTGATAATGGAAGGTTATATTTTTAACTCAAGCCATAGTATAAAATGAATCCCCTGAATATTCTGATATCGTAATCATAATTTAAACAAAGTTAATATACTAAAATTTTAAAAAAAATTATTTAAATGTTTTTGTTTTAATTTAAGAGTTCTTTTTAACTTTCTACTTTCATTAATTTATAATTTAATTTAAAATTAACAGTTTAATTTCAATCGATAACAAAGTGTTTATATCTTTTCTTTTTACTCCAAATCAAATGAATATTCTTTTCTATAAAAAGAAAAGGCAAATTAGGGTTTGATGCAAAATTAATCTTTGCCATTGTAATGTTACTTTTAATTTCCACCATGGAAGGCATGAACCGGCCATGGGCCATGGCTGTCCTTCTCATCT